GAGAGAGAGAGAGAGAGAGAGAGAGAGAGAGAGAGAGAGAGAGAGAGAGAGAGAGAGAGAGAGAGAGCATGCATGTTACGATTCGATATGACAGACGACGAGAGGCAAGTGCGTAGTTTAATGTTCGCATATTCGATTCCAACCGGCTTAAATGCGAGCAATGAGCGCTCCTGCCGCGGGCACCGGCAGAGCTTGTTGGCCAACCATGGGATTCCACCTCACCGGGTTGACATCCGTCTATTCCTCTCTTCTTCACAGGAGCTGCATTAGCACTATCACTACCAGCAGTTGCGTTAACTGTCCTTACTTCAACACACATTTGAATTCCAGTTTGACAAACTTCAGCGGCATCAGGAACAACAACAGTAAATCATTCTTAGCCTCTGCCGACCGGAGGGGTTTTCTCTCACCCTCTCCGTCCTCGTCGTTTTCACTCTTTTCTCACAGAGAGAAGCGAAAAGTGGATGGGGTTGAAGAAAAATGGCGTCCATACCACCCCTCCCCCTCCCCCTCCCCCTCCCCCTCATGGAAGCGATGGGAAGAACCGAGCGTCACTCATGCTCCTGCTGCAGTGACATCTGAGAGAAGACAAAGGACAAAAATAGCATCCCTTGCCTGTCTCGGGGTTGGCGTTCCCTCTGGCCTTTGCTGCCGAGAAAGTGTTAATCACAGTGACCGTATCAAGGGAGGTTTTGATTCGATTGATAGAGGGCCAAGAGTGAAAAGAAACGACCAAAAGAGGAGGGCAGGACGGAGAGAGAAGAAGAGTCGCTGTATTGAGAATCGTCGATCGGATTGGGAAATTGGTAGAGGGGCAAGAGTGAAAAGACACGAACTAAAGAGGAGGACAGAATGGGGACAGAATCGTTGTCATCAGCAGCATCGGCGAAGGACGCCTTTGTCTTCGCATTCTCCTCTTCTGGCCGTCGGCGCTCCTCTCCCACCTCCTCTCCCTTCTCTCTCTCTGTGCTCATGCAAACTCCCCTCCCGTCTATCTCCCCCTCCCCCTCCCTCCCACTCTCCCTCCCACTCTCCCTCCCACTCTCGTGCACTGGTCCGAGCAGCTGCATCGAACAGATTCAACGTATCTCTGCCGTTCATGCCGCGAATCTCGCGGCTGTCATTGAGTACTGATCGGCGAGATGTAGACCTGGACGAGCTCAGACAGCTGCTGATAAGTGCTGGCCACGATTCTCAACTCGTGCGTGATGAATCTGTCCCGACTGGCAGTAGAAGAGTGCCAGTTAGTGATCGGCATAACAACGATCCCAATGGAGGAGAAGGAGGAGGAGGAGGAGGGGGAGGAGGAGGAGGAGGAGGAAAAGGAGCAGTTGACATGACGAAACTTCGTCGAGCAATCAGAAACAGCGCAGTTGTTGTCTCAATACACAAGTGGGAGGAGGAGGAGGAGGAGGAGGAGGAAGAGGAAGAGGAGAAGGAGGAGGAGGGCGGGTGTAGTCTTATGATACCACAGGCTGAGAGTGGGAGCATGACCCAAAACAGCAGAGACGTAGCCGCCGGAAATCAATCTGACGGCCTGTTGCTCAGCAGGTTGATTAACACTGGAAGCGCTCTGTGGAGAAAGAGCGATGGCGAGTGGTTGAAGAAGAACCTATGGCTATGGCTTCCTCTTCCTCCTCCTCCTCCTCCTGGTTCTCCTTCTTCTCTTTATCCTCGCCGAAGGCTGGTTGCATTCGGTCGTGCTTCGTCAGACCGAGCAACAGTGGCTTCTATCCACGATGTTATGGTTGCTCCAGAGCTTCAGAGACATGGACTTGGTCGTCGCGTCGTCAAAGCCCTTCTCAGAGAGATTTGGCGAATGGGTATTCTAGACATCAACGTCATGACTCCGACCCACGCGAGGGGTTTCTTCCAAGCCTGCAACTTTGGCCCTGATGCCCAAAAAGCGGTACCCATGGTTTACTCACGACGGGTGAAGGTGAAGAAGAAGGACCACGCTAAAGGGTGTCCTCCTCCCCATAGTAATTACCATGACCATGATGATTACCCACCCAGCACCCCTCCGTTGGCATTGGCAACAACAATAATAGGTAGTGCTGATCCTGATTGCATTTGCGCCGGTACTCCATCAAAGAAGAAGAAGAAGAAGAAGAAGAAGAAGAAGAAGAAGAAGAGTGAGGGAAATGACGATGAAGAGTCGATGAGAATTATACAGCAAAGCAATGATAAACAAGATCATGATGGGCAAACAGAGAGATCAATGGGAGAAGAGAAGGAAAGTGCGAACAACTGTTGGGAGAAGAGGAGCCACGAGGATGATGAATGGGAGGTGGTGAGGAATAGTGAGAGTGATGACAGTGATGATGACACTTATGATGAGCACAATGCTGATGATGATGATGATGATGATGATGATGAGGAGGAGGAGGAGGAGGAGGAGGAAGGGGTTAGTGGTGATGGATATCATAGTTATGCTCAAGAAGCGAAGTATCGTGCGCTTCCGAAGAGGGAGGAGGGGCGGACGGAAGATGGCCTTGTCATCCCACCGCCGTTGAAAGTACCCTTCGACATCAGATGGCCGTGACGGGGGGTGTTGATGTTGTTGTTTTCTAAAAAAGAAAATTGTTGTTGTTTCTCAAATTGTGTTTTTTAATTGTTTTTTTTAATTTTTTTTTTAATTGTTTTTTAGTTTTTTTGACGGTTTTTTTTTTTTTTTTTTTTTGAATCGATTTTTGAGTTGTGTATTTTGAACTGTTTTTGAATTGGTTTTCAAGCCGAGGCATGGTAATGGCCCTGGTCGCATCTTTGTATTCCATTTCATAATCAAAAGCTTGATTTCAAAAAAGGGGAAAAGACAAAGAACCAAAAAAAACAAAAGGGGGGGGGGAAACGGCGGGGGAGGGGAAGAAAAAAAAGGAAAAAAGGAAAAAGAAGAAAAAGAAAATAGAAAAAAAAAAAAAAGAAAAAGGAAAAGAAGAAAGAAAAAGCAGCGAACGACGCGATTGAAAGTGTACCCTTCACCATCAAATAGCCTTGACGTTTTTTCTCTTGTAAGTAATTTTGAGGGGTTATTATGATGCATTGAATCTTTTTTTTTTTCTTTGGTGGGGTTGGGGGGAAGGGGGCGGGGCCGGGGGCGGGGGCGCGGGGATAGAGTATTAACTGTTTTACAGTTTTAGGGAGTAGTTATGATGAAGCAATCGTGGCAGTGGCAATCTGTCGCAACAACACACAGTTCTCGCCGAAACACTGACACGTGGTCGCAATCGCATCTGTCTCTTTCTCACTCCGACAAATCCTGCCCCCTTATTCTCTGGAGAAGAAGAAGAAGAAGAAGAAGAAGAAGAAGAAGAAATGACCGACACTTGCTGACGAATACAAAGAATCTGACAATTCCTGATTACTTTCCGCGGTGGGTTTCTTTTGTTGTTGAATAATATGCATAATTCCGACAAGGTACATTTCCGGGTTGAATTGGGTGAGAAATACAATATGCAATTATGTTGGGAAACAGGCAACAACAACGATATGCATTATTGTTGAATTATGTTGAATAATATGCATAATTCCAACGAAGGTACATTCGATAAATCATGTCACAGAAACAGGAAAAAAAAAAAAAAAAAAAAAAGTCGCAGATATATCAAAAGGGACACTGGGCCCGACTCCCAGGAAGTGTTGCTTCCCACTACTACTTGAAAAAGAAAAAAGGAAAAAAAAAAAAGTGATTCAAAAACCAATCTACTACTAGCCAATTTCGAATAACTGATGATGTCACAGATCAATTTTGAAGGGTGTAATCAAATCAATGTACCACTCTTCCATTGGGAGCTCTGCCTCAATCAATCTAGTTATAGAGAGCCGGCTGGTTCAGCCTCCTGATGAGTCGGTGAACCGCTCCCCTGACATCCCCAAGGTAATTGAAGAATTTCATGTGGCAACTGAGCTACGCCCGGTGTTATATATAGAGAGTGGATTTATTTTATTTTATTTTTTACTGGATTGGCTTTAATACCGGCGTCCAGTGGCCAAGTTCTTTTTCATTCCAAGTGAATTGTCTTTAGGGAAAGTTATGCCCCTGAAAGATGTGTTAACTAAGCTATATTTGCGTTCTACCCCCACCTCCCCGCTCCCCCCTCCCCCCTCCCCCACCCCAGCCGGCTTACACTGGCGTGCCTTTGTGATGGGGATTCAAATTTGCGAATTACCCCTGGGCCCTGGAATAGCTTGGGCCTGACATCTTTTCACTATGGGGAAAACAAGCATTCAAGGGGAGAACCCTTCAGTCCTTGGGAGTCTAGGGTCGGGCAAAAGACTGGCTCAACGAAACAGGGTGCTCAAATCGATCGACAACATGAGGGCCTCGTTTCAGGGGCGAGGCACGTCCAAGCACTGCATGCGCGTGTATGCAACGTGCAAGGCACGAGGATTCATTGCATGCACGTGCATGCAACATGCAAGGCACGAGGATTCATTGCATGCACGTGCATGCAACATGCAAGGCACGAGGACTCATTGCATGCACGTGCATCCAACATGCAAAGGGACGAGGATGCATGAAAGGCAAGTGCATGAAAGGGATCTTCGACTTCAACGCAGGGTTACGTCGAGGCAGATTTGTACCAATGCGAAAAGGACTCCACAAAAGAACCAGAGACTCAGAACCCCAAAGCCACGTGGAAGAGCCGGGGGGGGGAAGGAGGGGGGGGAGGGAAGAGGGCGAAGACGAAGGGGAAGAGAGGTACAACAGCTGCTGTGATTTGTCTCCTCACCTCCGCCTCTCTGGCCTGCGTCAAGACATACTCCAAAACCTTCTGATCGATGAACCTGGATTTCGTGTCATCCAGTTCAAGCTCCGACTGGGAAGAACGTGAGTCCATCCCAGATCCCATTGCCCCCCCCTCCATCACTTTGCTAGCCATCGCTGTTGTCTAGTTGCAAGCTCTTTCGGCTGCTAGAATCGTGATCGGATTTTGCGATGTTATCCGGTTCGGATTAACGGATTTCGCCTTAACCGTTAGAAAAACTGAAGTGGCATGATGGATATAATTGTTGAGTCGTTGCTGTACTTGAACGATATATTTGAGACATTAACCTTTCTCGGTCTTTTGGCTGAGGTCAAGGGCAGTTTCTTTTTTACATATTTTTCTTCCTTCTTCCTTTTTTTTTTCTTTTTTTTTTCCCCTTATTCTTTTTATAAAAGCGATAATTTGCCGAATTTCAGCAGCCGAAATGTCCCTAAAAGATGCCGAGGGAGCGGAATGCCCTTTTGGTTTGGCTAGATTTCACCCCGATGCCTACACTTGTCTTTCTTTTCTGTTACTCGCCGGGGCCGAGGTCCCACTAGCAAAGAGGATTGGATTAAGCTCCCGAATCTGGACTTGTTTCACCAGAGATTCATAAAAGCAGTTCACGCACGATACTCTGCACCTTTGCGGAAACGCGTCCAGATTCAGGCGTTCAATCCAATCCTCTGCGCTAGTGGGACCTCGGCCCGGGGAGTTTTCGGAGGATTCCCTCGGCCTCTCTTTTTTTTTTTTTTTTTTTTTTTTTTTTGGGACCATTTCTCGATTTACGCGTGTCATCCTTGCGCAGGGGGCTGGGGCCTCGTCCCACTAGCATCGAGTAAATGGGTGCGTGGTGTTCTTTTCTCATTAAAAACGCATAAACAATGCTTTTTATCATTTACACGAATGTGAAACAGTTTTCACCTTTGGCAGTAGCCGATGCAGATCCCAGGGGTCGATCCCTTGACCTCAGCTTACCTGTGTACAGTATCTGCACAGTTCCCTGGAGTTGAACCCGTGACCTGCACGATAGCCAGTGGTAAGTAGGTC